TGTCAGACATTTTTAAATCTCGCTCTTGAGTGGCAGGAGGAAACTACAAGTGTCAGACTTTTTTTTTTCCCTTCTCTATACAAATTTACAAAGAGGTTTCTTTTAAAATTCAGTGTTGCCATGACGACACCTGGTTCCACCTGAACTTAACTTTTCTCAAACCTTGAGCTAACCAATGCATTTTTCTTATGGAAATGTTTTTCTTAAGCTATGTTAATGAGCTATGTATTTACCCTAGACTCTGTCTTCAACTTGGTTCTGCCTAATACTCAGAACCAGTATGTTTTACTTGACAAACCAGTATGTTTTACTCTGGCAAATGTTCTCTTAAGCTATGTTAATAAGACTATGTCTTTGCTTGGAAACCTGCCTTTCTTCAACATTCATGTCAATCATTTTATGGCCCGGGACAACTCACCTTGTGCCAACATGATCTCAAAATGCATGTCGTGGGTGAGGGGCTGTTGCCAGTCTCTGAGTTCTGAGACATTTCCTGTCTTTAATTAGCAGCCTGCTAGTAGCTATATAACATCCGGCTAAAGACTAGTGGAGGGGGCGGGGAGGGCACTCTTTCTACCCCCCTTCGGATGTCTATGTCAGAATATACTTTAATAAAACTTTATTTCACAAAAGCTCTGAGCCATCAAGCCTCGCCACTGGCCCAGGGTTGAATTCCTCTCCTCTGGAGGCCAAGAATCCTGGTGCCTTTCACGGCTCAGCAACAACCTTTCAGTACCCGCTCCATCCCATGTAACAGCCCCAAAGCTCAGGTGAGCGTCCCCCGCACCCAGCCCTCCCTCTCACATCCCCTGGGGCCAGCTGGGCCTTACGCAGGTGGCCCGAGACTGGAGACTCCAGGATCCAGGGACAGATGCGCCCCCACCCCCAGCCCCGGCTGCAGCGGTCTGCGCTTTAGCTCCCATTGGCTGTTTCTCATCCTTGAACCTGGGAGGAGGGGCCAAAGCCCCGGGGTATCCAGGGGGCGGGGCCTGGGTACTATTCAGATGATGACTCTGGCTGCTGGGGAGGGGCTGGGCGACCGGAAACCGGGGCCTTTCCGCCCGTGTGGGTGCAGGGGGTTCCGCCTACCACAGGCCAGGCTGTGGTAGGATCAGCCCGAGACAGAGAACTGGGCCCTTCTGACTCATCCCTCCCCAGCGAGGAGTCAGGCACACTGGGCCCGTTAGGCAGGAGGTCGATCACTCTCCCCGCTGCTGGGGAGAACTTTCCTCAGGTCGGGCGGGACCCGCTGACCGGCAGGACTGTAGGTAGCCTCTGCAGTCTGAACAGCAAGGGTCTCCAACCTACACAGGTGGTGAGAGCTTCATGGAGGAGGCTGTGGCACTGTTGTAATTTCTTTGAACATTTCCAGGCCACTATTGCATGGACTGAGGATCCTGGTAGGCTACAGTCCATGGAGTCGCAAAGAGTCAGACACGACTGAGCGACTTCACTATTGCCTGTTTGCAGGTTTGAGTTGTTGTTATTCAGCCGCTCAGTCGTGTCTGACTCTCTGCAACCCCACAGACTGCAGCACGCCAGGCTTCCCTGTCCACTGTCTCCCAGAACTTGCTCAAACTCATGTCCATTGAGTCGGTGATGCCATCCAACCATCTCATCCTCTGTCATCCCCTTCTCCTCCCGCCTTCACTCTTTCCCAGCATCTGGGTCTTTTCCAATGTGTTGGCTCTTTGCAGCAGGTGGCCAAAGTATTAGAAGCGTCAGCTTCAGCATCAGTGCTTCCAATGACCATTCAGAACTGATCTCCTTTAGGATGGACTGGTTGGATCTCCTGGCAGTTCAAGGGACTCTCAAGAGTCTTCTGCAACACCACAGTTTGAAAGCAGAGTAGTCCCTCAAAATCATGCCCAGGGTTCTTAGTGAATCCTGCTCTGTGCCCAGCCCTATGCTAAGCTTCATCAGCTTTCTGTCTCAGAATCCAAATATTGGAAAGACTGTGATCGTCTTTCTCATTTCATAGATAAGGACAGCTGAGGCCTCTGGAGGTTAAGTGCTCTGCTCAGGGTAAAGCATCAGCAGTAGGAGTCAGCCCAGCCCCGGCTGGTCCCACAGCCAAGATGTCCAACCTCCGTTCAGCCCGCCCCCTCGCACGCCTATGGGTAAACTTCTCAACGAGGCTTGGGACACCATGCATATGCCAGGGTCAAAACGTGTGGATATTGGAGTGACCTGCTCTGGAGACATCAGGGCTCATGAGAGATAGCCAAGCCTCTCTGCTTATGGTGAAAAGTTGGTGGATGGTCATCTCTGGATGCTTGTCTTTGGAACCATGATTGTGAGAACTTGCTCCCCATTGGAAGTGCCCAAAAGATGTGTGTACTGGTTCCATGGGGTCTGTGGATAAGCCATGAGGCCCAGGGACTCAAGAGATTGTGTGCAAAACACATGCTTGGATTGGTGTGGATCTGGAGAGAAGGACCATAGACCTCACAGGGTTTCAGATTGAGGGGGCATGACCCCAAAAAGAAAGAAGCACTGGGGCTTCCTGTCACCCCTGGGCTGACCCAGACCTCAGAGGCTGAGTCTGGACACCATCAGACCACCTCCCCCCAAGGCTGCACTGGCTGAACTACATATGGGCATCCTGCTCACTTTGAAGGTTGTTCCAGGACACAGGACTGCTAAACTTGTCCTTGGACTTACTAGATGTGAGGTCTTAAGGACAGTGATACCTGTTCAGGGCTCTCGAGGAGAGCCTTCTGGAGAAATCTTGTGTTGGATTCAGTAACAGGAATAGTTGGGTATCTCTTGAGCAGGTGCTTTAATCTTCACCTCTTGGATCCTATGAAACACATAAATGAAGTATTTCCCTTTTCTCCTTGGCTGCCAGGTAACTCTGACCTGTCTGTGTAACCTCATGGGCTGTTGTGCACTGACCTGGCTCCCCGTTCTTTCAGACTTTCATACCCCTATTTTCCCCTTGCCTCATTTTCATCACATTATTTTCCTTAGGAAGAAAAAACTTTGCTGTTTTATGTGTTCTAGACTAAACTAAACAAACATCTATGGTGGATCATCACTGGCCACTGCAGACACAGGGATTAAGCATTTCCTTTCTGCAGTCTCCATCCCAGAGGCCTGTTTGCCAACTCTGTGCCCTGCTCCATCTCTTTCCCCATCCAGTTCCCTCTGCTTCTTGCTCCAGTTTCTGGGACCCCAGAGAGCCTTGGGGCTCCTCCATACTGACTCCTGACTCCGGTAAGCTGCATCATCTGATACAACGATCAGGTTTTTTTCCCTCTGCTTCTTCTGTCTTCCCAGGCTTCACAAAAGCAGGGGAAAAGGGAACAAGGAGAAAAACCAGGAGGGGAGTCATTTCCCCAACTGGGCCTTAGCTGCTCTTCCCAAAGCCTCAGGTCCCCCTTTGGAGGCCTCCCCCTTTTTCAGCTCCTGTCTTGTCTCAGCAGCCCCAGGTGACTTATGTCCCCCGCCTGAGCAGACTGAGCCCAGTTTTTCTGGCCGAAAGATGGTGAATGCAGCCCCGATGCCTTGGAAATGCTGGTGGAGAGAGCCGGCCAGCAGTGCCCGGGGGACAGCGGTGCCCTGGGGGCACAGTGAGATGCCGGTGCTGGGTTTCAGTGCCCCACCCTGCCATCCGCTGTCCCTCCAGTTCTTGCATGAGGTGGCTGCTCTCCGTTTCCCAAAGTTAATAAACTCAAACTGAATCAACATACTCAGTACAAACTGAGCCTTCCTCCCACCCCTCTCTTAGCTCCTCCCACCTGGCAGCTACAGTTAACTGGTTCAGTGCAAGTTCTTGTGGTTGTTTATGCATAGATTCAAATAAATGTGTGTGTGTGTATATATATATATATATATATATTCACATACAGTCCCTTTTAAAAGCTGAGAGATGGTGGCACACTATTGCCCATGTCTTTTCTGGGCCTATATTAAAAAATTTTTTTTTTTACTTAAAAATGCATCTTGGGTGATGGTTCCACCTTGGTACTTACACATCTGTGGAGCCTTCTCTGATAGAACTGGTTAAAAAGAAAACACTAGGGTGGGGGAGAATGTTAATAATGAAAGGGTTAAGTCTCTAGGGAAGAGAAGGGATGCTCATGGGTGGGTGTTAGGAGGTTTAAGAGCCTTCTAATTGTGTGTATAAAACTGTGGGCACAAATGGATCTTCTGGGAAGAGGGATTGTGTCTCTCCAAGGGGGTCTGTGACCCAGAAAAGACAAAGAACCACAGCACTGGGTTGCGTGGATTAAACAGAGCAGGAGGCAGAGGTTAACTCGTCAGAGGACAGCGTCCCCTGGTTCCGGGGCTCACCGGGGCAGCCATGGATCGGGTTGAGACAGGGGCAGAGCTGCCAGCCCTCGTAGCCTCTTGGAAGGTGACTGGAGCCTTACTTCCGAAGGAGGGTTCCCCCATCTTTCAGGGAGGGCGATCCTGACCCTGAGGATGAAGAACAGGGCTTCCCGGGATCTGACAATTCCAATGGCCAGACCTGGGAAGCCTTTGAGGGTGACTGGCTTTAGGGAAAAACCGAGGCACAAAGAGGCCAGGGCCAGGGGAATGCAGAGCCTGTGGGCTGCTCCAGCCTGTGACGTTCGGTGTCCCTTCCCCTGTCCCTGCCGGAGCCGGAGGGGACCAGGGAGCCGAGGCCCTCCAGGCGCTATGAGGCTGCCGGTTGCCGCCTGCCTCTTGGTGTCTGGGTGAGACAAGAGGGGAGCACAGAGCCGAGCCCGCAGCCCGGGTGGGCGTGTCATCTCCCCACCTCGCTGCCCCTGCAACATCGCCTCCCCGCCGCCGCCGCCGCCGCCGCCGCCTGCCTGCCTGCGTTCTCACTTTAGACTGCAGCCAACCAGCCAGGAATGCTGAAGCCAGCCGAGACGCAGCGCTAAGGGGCGGCACTGCAGGATGTGGCCACTAGAGGGCAGCAGGGAAGCCACTGCGGCGGTTCGGCCGGAGAGAGCTCGCCGGCCCGGAGAGTGCGGGAGGGCAGGGGCTCGGCGCAGAGGCTGGCCTGGCAGAGGTCTGGGCAGAGCGGTCAGGGACCGTGTCTGCCTCACCGCCACAGTCAGGAATGCTGGGTGCTGACGGACCTCCTTGAGACAGAAAGCACACGAGACATTAATGACGATAAAAGTAACAACACTTATTGAGCACTTCCTCCTCGCTAGTCACTGTAGGAAGTAATCAGTCTTAAAAAAAATAGCCTTGTTAAAATTACCACCACTTCTTAGGTGAGAAAACCAGAAGTCCGGGGAGACTGGGGGAATCTGGTCATTAACAGGGCTGGTGCCAGAGCCAGCGTCCCGAGAGTAAGTCTGTACCATATTACACGCCTGTCCACATGACCACCGCTACCGTTATACTTACTTTACCAGTGGGGAAACTGAGGCTCAGAGACAACGAGTGAGTCACACAGGCCTGTGCATCTGCTGAGTGACAGGTCCAGGTAGGTGTGGTTTCATGGCTTGAGCTCTTAGCTCTGAATTCTAGTTCTCCCACGGGGAGGTGTTTCCCCCTCCCATCCTGGACCCTAATTTGAAGGTGGCTGGTTCCAAAGTCTGAACTTTCCTTGGAGAGTGGGTGACTCCCAAGAGAAGTTAGATTCTGGATGCCCACGTCTAAGGCTTGCCTGGATCTTGACTCACCAGAGGTGGACGGAGGCCAGGCCAGAGGCTTCAAGAAGCCCCAGCGAGGGGCTCTGGGGCCCACAGTCAGGCTCAGAGGATGAGGGTATTGAGGATATCCCTTGCAGTGGCCAGAGCTCCCCTGGGAACAATGGGGCCGGGCCTCAGGGCCTCTGGTTTCCAGGGCAGTTGCTTCCAGAATACCAAGGACGCTTGGCGGGCCCTGGGCCTGGTTCTGCCAGGCTGGCAGGAGAGCAGGGGCATTTCTAGGAGGGCCTGACTTCCTCCATCTTCCCGTTCCCATGCCCTGGCTTTGCCCTCTTTGGGGGTGGGGGGGGTGACAGGGAGTGGCCTGCCTTCAATACATTCCCCTCCCGGGTGTCCAGGTTGCACCTTGTAAATCGGATTCCTGCTTTTTAGGGATTTATAGCATCGCAATGACGCTTCAGTTCCTTCTGATTTATTGGCAAAGGCAGCAGCTTCCAATCCTGGCCTTACAGTTTTTGGGGGTGCTGGTGGTTCAGGGAAGTGAGGGGAAGAAACTTAAAATGGTTTCCTCCTTGAAAGATGCTCATCTCTAAAGAAAACCTTGGGTGAATTGTTTTTGGAACAGGAATCTTAAGAGTTAAGGGAAAGCTTCCCTTTCAAGCTTCCATCTCCTGTCTTGGTGAGGACCAAAGGGTGTTGCATGTAGTTGAAGAGGGAGTAGGTCAGGGAGGAGGATCTGAGCATACCGCCTGGCTGGAATCCTGGCTCTAAGCTTGGAGAAGTTATCTAACCGTGCAGAACCTCAGTTTCCTTATCTGTAAAATGGGACTATGACCCCACAGGGTTACTGTGAGTGCTAGATGAGCTGATGCCTGGAAAGGGAGCATATGACTGGGAGAAACATCACGAGTGCCCAGAAGTACTTGCTTTCCTTCCTGTTATTTCGCCCATAGTGCTCAGAACAGCACCTGGCTCATGCTAGATAATAACATGCTTGTGAATAAATACAAAGGAAATATGGCCGAATGAAACAGCACTGCCGCTAAAGAATGAACTCCAGAGTAACTTAAAAATATTACTCTGCACGAATATCGGTGATTTTCCATACCTGTTTTCTAAAGATGTTCACATTTGTCTTGGGGCCCTTGGGCAGGGCAGGCCTGCACTCTGCATGAGCTGGAGGAGAGTCACATATAAAGCTGAGAAGCTGTTCTCTGTGGGTCCTCCAAGCAACCCAGCTGATGGAGAAAGCGTCTTCTGCTGTCATGGAGTGAGGCACTGTGGGATGGGTGCATTTGTCGGCTCACACGGGAGGTTCCCCAGAACCTCTGACTGTGCCTTTCCCCTATTTACTGCCACCTGGTGACACAGTACTGCTTCCTCTAAGTACCAAGTAGGGTTTCACACTTGAAACAGGACTCCCAGGACCGCCGCCAGCTCACTGCCGTCACCCCAGCCTCTGTGCCCATCCCTAAGCTTCAGCTTGTTTCTTCCCCACTAAACTGATGGTAAAAGAGCCACAGCCCTGGCCCAAGAGTCTGACCCAGAGCGCCTCGAGTCTCTCCTACTTCTTACTTGCTTACCATGACCATTGGTGTAGTCTCTGAGCCTTAGTTTCATCATCTGAACAATGGGAGTGAGGACCCTGACCTTCCAGCAGGGGCTTTCAGGAAAACGGACTCTCCCTGGTGTGGAGAGCTGGGTGAGTGAGCTGAACCCAACAGCATTCATTTGGGAAATGAGGACCCACTCGTCCCGCCCCCAAGGGGAATTGTGCCCAACAGTGAACGTGGGGAGAATACTCACAAGGCGCAGGCCTTCACCCAACCTCCACGAGCCCCATAGTTCAACCAGACCAGACAGACAGCAAAGGGAAGAAGCATGCTCTAAATCTCAGAAGTCATCTGAACGTCGCCTTCTAATGTCCGGTGCCTCACACACTGATTCACAAATGAGCAGGGGACGTTAATTGCGTGCATGTCTGAAGGCCATAAATGGGTAACCTGGAGGAACAGTAAGTCAGATCTCCTTGGAGGGAAGGAGCGTGGGCTCTGGGGAACCTGCTGGATGAGGGTTAAGCCAGGCATGTGAGTCGGGCAGGTTTCTCCACCTCTCTGTGCCTCAGCTTTCTTGCCTGTGAAATGGAACCAATGCTGGCTTCCACGTAAAGTTCTTGTGGAGCACTGATGAGCCAAGGTAGGTGAACCGCTTAGCGCTTAGGAAATACTCATTGGATGCTCACCAAAACAACGCTGCGACCTTGGTGCTTTGACTTAGGGTTTGCAAAGAGCGTGAGGGTCAGGGATGCTCCCTGGTCCACTTTTGCTTTGAGTTTCAGGTAGCCGTTCTCTTCTCTCTGTGTGGGTGGAAGAGGACCCTCGCTTCCTTTCTGTCCCTTCCTCCTGGGCTTCAGCGGGTGGGCTGCCTCCACTGAGCCGCCGCTTCCACCTGGAGATCTGGGGTGAGGCTCCTTGCTCTTCCCGACTTCCGCTAACCCCCACTGGGGAAGATCACTGAACAAGGTGAATCGCAAAGGGTCAGGATGCTGCGGATTTTAAATGCAGAACCCATCTGGACTGTGCTCCAGTCGGCCCTGTTTTCTGGGATAACTTTGACCCTGACGGTACCGTTGTTGGGCACTGAGCTGAGTGAACCCAGCTAGACTGCTCCAGTCGGCCCTGTTTTCTGGGATAACTTTGACCCTGATGATACCGTTGTTGGGCGCTGAGCTGAGCTGGCCGGCCTGGAGCTGTTTGTGTCCAGTGGATTTCTCTGCACCTGTCTCGGGTGGTAGCTGGGAGGGGTGCCTCACGGGTGGTTCCCTAAATGGGGCACTTACTCTCAGCTGGGCATGCAGGCTTGCCAGCCCCCTGCCCACTGGAGCATCACTCTCTCGTAGGGTATGGGTAGCGGGTGGGAGAGGCGGGTGAAGGTGGTGGGATGGACCCAGGGACTCAGAGACGGCACTGGGTTACCTGGAGCCCCGAGTCTCAGTGGGCAGATCTGGGAGAGCAGACAGGGCTTGCGCTGCCCAGCCCCGGGGAGCTGTCCGTGGGGCAGGCGACCAAGGGCGAAGAGGTGGGTGGGAGGCCCTGGGAGCCCCGCTTCAGTACCACCTCTCCCTGTCTCCTTGCAGTCTGCTGGCCACGGGACTGTTGCACAGGCTGTGACCGCTGGCGAGGACTGGAGAGCCGGCGGCTGCGGACTGCCCGGCGCAGAACAGCCCCTCTTTGGTGAGTTGGTGGGGCCTTCCCCCGCCTTTGCCTTCCCCAAGGCGGGTCGCTGAGCTGGCCTCTCTCGGCGTGGGGGGCAACTTTCACATGCTCAGGTTGGCCTCTCCCTCGGGACCCCAGCACACCCCCACTTTCCCTGCCCTCCCATTCCCCGCACTTTCTCTGTTCCTTGAGGTGCCCCTTCTCTTCCACCCTTCTTCTCTCTGCCTGGCCTGGGTTCTCTGGGGCCACTGCAGAATCACAGGGGGGTCCCCGAGCTCACCCTGTGGGCTGAAGGGGTGGAGGCCCTTGAGGACTGGCTGGGGGAGGGGTGCTGGAGGAAGCAGTCGATCCAGCTAAATCAGTTCCCTCATGTGCCCCATGACCCGGGCCCCTTCCTCAGTAGACTTGTGCATACTGAGTTGTGTCCGACTCTGTGACCCCATAGACTGTGTAGCCTGCCAGGCTCCTCTGTCCATGGGATTCTCTTGGCAAGAATACTGGAGTGGATTGCCATTTCCTTCTCCAGGGGATCTTCCTGACCCAGGGATTGAACCTTGCATCTCCTGCATTGGCAGGCGGATTCTTTACCACTAGCGCCACCTGGGAAAATTTCAGGTGTACTACAATAGACTGTGTAGCCTGCCAGGCTCCTCTGTCCATGGGATTCTCTTGGCAAGAATACTGGAGTGGGTTGCCATTTCCTTCTCCAGGGGATCTTCTCGACCCAGGGATTGAACCTTGCATCTCCTGCATTGGCAGGCGGATTCTTTACCACTAGCACCACCTGGGGAGCACCCCTTCCTCAGTGGCCAGGAGAAAATCCTGGAGGCCACTGGGGCCTCGGAAGGGGTGTTTCTCAGCAGCCCCTGGACCCTGTCTGCTCTGGGCCAGCTGCCTCTGAGGGAGTCCATGAGCCCCAAGAGTCCTCCACTGGAATAAGCTGGTCACCTGCATCCGTAAATTGGGTGGGGAGCGCAGGCAGGGCTTGATGCCGTTGTCCACCTTCCCCAGCCCGGTGGCCAGAGGTTGCTAGCAGCCCACTCACTCAAGGTGTGTGCAGATTCTTTTTGCACAGGGACGTGGGTCAGGGGGTGGCATCTGACATGGACATTTCTTCCTCTGGGGATGGGCAGAAGATGGAGGAAAGAGGACCACATGGGGAAGTGGGTGCCAGCTCGTGGGAGTGGAAGAAGATGCAGGTGGCCCAGGAGATGCCGGCGGGGGTGGATAGGCAGAGACAGGGGAATGGCTTAAGGTAGGTGGGGGCTGTTCATCCCCCAGGTATGGGAGTTGAGGGAGTTAGCGTCTTGCCCAGTCAGGCCCCACTAAGGTACTCAGTTCCCGATGGGACGCCCCACAGTATTCTGTGAGTTAGACCCTGGGGTATGGGAATCGGTTCATTCAGTCCCTAATAGCCCCCGGGAGTCCCCAGAGAATGGTAAAAGTCTAGAGTAGGAGCCCCTTTAGTGCTCAGGTGTATGTGGGAGCACTGAGCCAGGGAGCTGGGGTCCTTCCCCTGAGGGCTGGAGACCCAGCTCCCCTCAGGGAGCAAGCTGGTGCCCCCCACCGCAGCCGTCAGAGGCATCCAAGCCTGGCTGCCCCCTGACGGCTGCCCGCCTTGGCCCCCAGACCTCACATGCTGGAGAAGCAGCCCCATGAAGGTGCCCAGCCATGCAATGTTCCTGGAAGGCCGTCCTCCTCCTTGCCCTGGCCTCCATCGCCATTCAGTACACGGCCATCCGCACCTTCACGGCCAAGTCCTTCCACACCTGCCCGGGCCTGGCGGAGGCCGGGCTGGCCGAGCGGCTGTGCGAGGAGGGCCCCACGTTCGCCTATAACCTCTCGCGCAAGACCCACATCCTTATCCTGGCCACCACACGCAGCGGCTCCTCCTTCGTGGGCCAGCTCTTCAACCAGCACCTGGACGTCTTCTACCTGTTCGAGCCTCTCTACCACGTGCAGAACACGCTCATCCCCCGCTTCACGCAGGGCAAGAGCCCCGCCGACCGGCGGGTCATGCTGGGCGCCAGCCGGGACCTCCTGAGGAGCCTCTACGACTGCGACCTCTACTTCCTGGAGAACTACATCAAGCCGCCGCCCGTCAACCACACCACGGACAGGATCTTCCGCCGCGGGGCTAGCCGCGTGCTGTGCTCCCGGCCGGTGTGCGACGCCCCGGGCTCGGGGGACCTGGTGCTGGAGGAGGGGGACTGCGTGCGCAGGTGCGGCCTGTTGAACCTGACGGTGGCCGCCGAAGCCTGCCGCGAGCGCAGCCACGTGGCCATCAAGACGGTGCGCGTGCCCGAGGTCAACGACCTGCGGGCCCTGGTGGAAGACCCCCGCCTAAACCTCAAGGTCATCCAGCTGGTCCGGGACCCCCGGGGCATCCTGGCCTCCCGCAGCGAGACCTTCCGCGACACGTACCGCCTCTGGCGGCTCTGGTACGGCACCGGGCGGAAGCCCTACAACCTGGACGTGACGCAGCTGACCACGGTGTGCGAGGACTTCTCCAACTCCGTGTCCACCGGCCTCATGCGGCCCCCGTGGCTCAAGGGCAAGTACATGCTGGTGCGCTACGAGGACCTGGCCAGGAACCCCATGAAGAAGACCGAGGAGATCTACGGGTTCCTGGGCATCCCCCTGGACAGCCACGTGGCGCGCTGGATCCAGAACAACACGCGGGGAGACCCCGCCCTGGGCAGGCACAAGTACGGCACGGTGCGCAACTCGGCGGCCACGGCCGAGAAGTGGCGCTTCCGCCTCTCCTACGACATCGTGGCCTTCGCCCAGAACGCCTGCCAGCGCGTGCTGGCGCAGCTGGGCTACAAGATGGCCAGCTCGGAGGAGGAGCTCAAGAACCCTTCCGTCAGCCTGGTGGAGGAGCGGGACTTCCGCCCGTTCTCATGACCGGGGCTCCGTGGGTGGGGGCAGGGGGCACACGGTGTCGGTTTTGATAACATGGACCGTTTTTAACTGTTGCCTTATTTCCCCCTTCCCTCTCCCACCCCGTCTTTTGTGTCCTACCTGCCCCCTGTCCACCCCGCCCCCCAACTTCCACCTGCCTCTCTTTGTCTCTGAAATTTGCACTATGTCTTGGACAGGAATCCCTGGGGCAGAGGGGGCGGTGAAGTGGGGTCCAGCCCCCACCCCACCCCGTTCAGACACTCGGGTGTGTGTCTCTGGTGGATGGTGACAATGTTTACAAGCACCACACTTACACATTCACATACGCACGTGCACACACACACACACACACACACACACACACACGGGCGCCTGAGAGGAGAGACACCCCAACCACACAACTTTTGAGGTTTTTTGAATGGATGAGTGGTCAGGGTATGGTAGTTTTTGCACTGTCTTACTTCAACAAGGTAAGAGGTTAAAAACAAAAAGGCCACCTCTCTCTAATTTATGAATGGTGTTTATCCCTCCCCATCCTGCTTCTGCCCCCCAATACCACTGCCCCCCACTACATGGAGCAGAGAAAACTGCCCCTTCCTGCCCACCCTTGCCTGGCGGTGAGCAGGTTTTTACTGTGAGGTGAATGTGGACCTTGTTTATTTCTTCCAGTCTGTGGCAACGCTGTCTGTCTGTCTGTCTGTCTGAGTCTTGTGGCTGCCCCTGGACTAGTGATGGCTGATAAATATTATGGTTTTCTGATTGATCTTGGGGTCCATCTGTGATATTTCTTTGTGCCAAAAAGAAAAAAAAAAAGAGTGGTTCAGTTTGCTAAATGAACATTGAAATGCTTTATCTGTGTTTTCTGTAAATAAAAGAGTGCAATAATGTCTGAGTGTGATTATGGGACATACTGAAAGGGGGAAGGCAGAACTTGTTGGGGTCCAGGTGTTTCTGGCTTTGGGGAGGAGAGCCGTGGAGATGGAGGAGGGAATTCAATGACCAGTTTCTGGTTTCCAGAATTCGTATCACCCTCAACACCGTCAACAGTGAGTTCACAGTTTCATTCCCCTTCGGTTAGTTGAGACCAGTCACCTGATAGCCAGGAGGTGATGTTCAAAATATTTAACAAGTGGTTTGGCTTGCTGTATCGGTGTCTGGAGCGGCTGATGTCCTGGTGACTCTTTCTGCGCCAGATGTTACTCCCTTTATTGCTGGGTCTGGGGCCAGGATAGCCGGGGAGGGAAAGATATTCCCGAGTAGGTTGACTCAGGGCAGGGGCCTCTGTCCACGGTCTGGGTGCGTTTCAGTATTTTAACAGCTAGTGCGGCTGTCCTGTTGTCCACACTGGCGGAGTACCAGTCCTGTTTGCTTTCCTTCCGATCCTTGGCAATCTAGCATCTTCTCCGAGCGGCTTCCCCAGCTCTTATTCCAAGAAAACAGCTGCTCTGTGGGGTGGAGTTCACAGCTTTGTCGGCCTGGGACAGAGAGAACTCCTGGGATTAGGCAGCCCCAGAGGTCCTGGGCTTCTCAAGCTTGGCAGAGCCGTCACCCAGGGCAGTACAGCCTTCAGAGGATTTATTTGTGGCAAACAAGCCTGCATGGCAGAGAATCAGAAACCAGAGTGCTGGCCTGCTTCTAGAGTCTAAAGACCTAACTCTTACAGTGCTCTTGGAGGCCCTGCACATCCTGGTTCCTGCCCACCTCTAGCTTCACCTGAGCTGTGTTCCCCTTCACATTCGCTCTGGTCTTTGGCTTTCTTTCAATTCCAGGAACACACTGAGGTTACTGCTCCCGATCTGTTCACCTCTCCCTATAACCACACCCTTGGGTAGTGCCCCTTCCCCCGTTTGGGCTTAGCCACATGCCTTGCCTTTGTCAATGGGTGCAGTGGCATGAGAAGTACCTGAGCTTTGGAACTTGTCCATTTTGCTGTCTTTTAGACACCTTTAACTGCCTTGTGAAGGAAACCCAGGGCAGCTTGCTAGAGAATGACAGACCACGAAGTGAAGAACCAAAAAGCCCCAGCCAATGGCCAGCCAGTTCCTCACTGACTTGGCCACTGACACAGGTGCCCCAGTGAGCCCCAGCCCAAGTCAGTGACGCAGTCTGACCTAGACTGTGGGAAGTGCCTTGCTGAATCCAGGCAAATTTCTGACCTACAAAACTGGGTTTAAAAAAGTGGTTGTTTTAAGCCACTAAGTTTTGGAGTGACTTGTTATGCAGCCAAAGCTGACCAATACATACAGCACTCTGGCTCATTGCAGCATATTTGCTTAAGCTCTTTCCTCATGGTTGGGTTACTCCTATTGCCCTCTTAACCTAGTTAATATCTGCTTATCCTCCGGATCTCAGTGTCATTATCAACACTTCGCTGGTTTTATCAGATTGGTTCAGTTGTCCTAATCATAGTCCCCTATGTAAGTGATGATATTAGATATCCTGAGTATAGGCCCTTATGGCATCATGTACATCTCTTTTATAGTGTTAATCACAAGTGTAATACTTTTTATTACAGGACTTGGCACATGATAGTATCCAGTAAACATTGGTTGCATGAATAAAAGAAGGGATAAAACAGGTGCTTTCCACCAGATAAAAGAATTTGCTTGTACTGCTCCTTTACTAGGGGGTGGGGTCTTAGGAATCTGAAGGAGACCCAGGCAGCTGATGCGCTCCCAGCCTGTTTCTCACAGGGGATGGGGGGAGGGGGTGTTCAGCTGAGTTTTGTTCTAAGAATCCACATCACCCCCTGTAGTCGACAATTCTTTTTTTTTTGCACTCCACACACGGACACTGGCCTTCCTAATTTTTTGTCTTTGCCACTTGTTACAATTTCCGAGGTTAAAGCTTGTAGGGAGAAGAGCAGTGAACAAACACATGTAGGGAATTTTTGCAGTTTACCAAGCACCCTTCCCCCTCCTGTTAGTTGCACCTCTCCAGCGGCTGTTTCCTGCTGACACAGAGGCACCTTTTTCCAGCCAGGAAATGGTGGTCAGAGCGCCACGTAGGCAGGGCTGACCCGGGCCCCACCTCGGCTGTGTGTAGCGCCTTGATGGCTTAGATCCTGAGGAGTAACTTCCAGGTCTTGTCCCCGTACTAAGGGCCCCTTGCATGCCGCAGCTTTGAGGGCTGTGTCCTGCCGATTCTTTTCCTCATAGGCTTCCTGTTTGTGGTTTTCACCTGCTCGCCCTTGTTTCTTCGTATCAGCAGACACTCCAGCCTCCCAGCCCCACTTCCCTGGGACTCTGGGGAGCTCACTGAGCGCCACGTCCCATCATTCCGCAGGGTATTGTCCAGAAGGAACCTGTCATTCCCGATTCATCCTCTTCCTGGGGGAAGAATTTCTCCATGCTGGAATGCCTTTCCTCACTGGGAAGGAAAAGATGTACGTGAAGCCCCTTCACAGACCCATGGAGAAAATACATAGGCTCCTGTTTCCTGAGTGCTGAAAAACAGGTTGGAATCAAGTCCTTAGAGGCAAGTAGTCAAGGTTTGAATGCACCGGGGGGTATGCCTGCCGCCACGGGCTGAGTGGTCAGTAGGCGGGCTCTGTGTTTGTGTGTGTGTGCGTGTGTGTGTGCATGTGTGTGCGTGTGTGTGTGCAGCTGGGAGACTAATGCCCAAACTGAGGATCTGACTGGCCTGGGGGCCTGCAGCCTGCCTGCCCAGGGCATACATGGGACAATTACCCAGGCTTCAAAGAGCCCTTAAAGCTTCACCCAAACCGCCCATCTCCCTACCCTGCCTCTGTCTAATTGCACTTTTTGCTTCTGGGAGTTGTCATCTGCTGATGACTTATAATTACAATGTCTTATTCATCTTGGGAACCATTATGGTAAAATGCATGATTCTAGGTTCCAGTTCCATCTTTGTCATTAGTCGATGTGTGACCTAGGGCACATCACAATTTATCTGAGCCTCCATGTTCTTATCTGTACAAAGGTAATGCTTATAATACCTGCCTCAGAGGGCTACTCTGAAGATTGCATAAGGTAATGTATTTAAGTGCAGGGCACTGTGCTTGGTGTATAGGGAATGCCTATTAAATTCTCGCCATTATCATCATCATCACCATATCATTTTATCCACGGTTATTAGCAGGGTACCTGGAACATGCTCAATGCATATTCGTTGAATAGTACATTTTTTTGGTGAGCTCTTCTAACATGAATGCTAACAACGCACAAAGTTACTCCTGAACAAAATGGCATAGCAGCCAGTTCATTTCAGTTCAGTTGCTCAGTCATGTCTGACTCGTTGTGACCCCATGAACCACAGCACGCCAGGCCTCCCTGTACATCACCAACTCCTGGAGTCCACCCAAACCCCTGTCCATTGAGTCGGTGATGCCATCCAACCACCTCATCCTCTGTTGTCCCCTTCTCCTCCTGCCCTCAATCTTTCCCAGCATCAGGGTCTTTTCCAATGAGTCAGCTCTTCACATCAGGTGGCCAAAGTATTGGAGTTTCAGCTTCAACATCAGTCCTTCCAATGAACACCCAGGACTGATCTCCTTTAGGATG